ATTTATTTATTTTGTGTGTAAGTGGTGGTGGTTCGGGGGTGTGGGTGGGGAGGGGGTGCTACAGTGTGTGTGTAGAGGTCAGAGTACAGTTTTTGGGAGTCAGCTTTTTCCTACCAAACTGGGTCCCAGGTATCAAACACAGGTCATCAGGTTTGGCAGCAAGCACCTTTAACTGCTGAGCAATCTCACTGGCTCTCTCCATGTCTTTTGTTTGTGCTTTGTGCCCCATTGGGTCTAATCAGGGCCGATTCAACAAGGGTGTGAAGCTATCTGCTGGAATATGAATAACTCTCCAGTGGCTATATCATTGAAGACAATGCCTTCTTCTCTCCCAGCACCCTGAGACAGCCATTAGCTCCTCTGCTGGGTGGGGTGGGGCCCCATGAGTTCCTCTCCCATCTGTGACTGAATATTTATGAGCTCTGTCCTATGCAGGCCCTATATAGGCAACTACAGCTGTTTGAGTTCATGTGTGCCATAGCTGTGTCATGCCCATAAGACAATGTTTCATAGCCCTTCTCCTCATCCAACTCTTACATTCTTTCTGCCCCCTCTTCTACAATGTTTTCTGAGCCTTAGAAAGGGTAATATGGTTGTCCCATTTAAGGCTGAGCACTTCACAGTTGCTTGTTTCCAGCATCTTGACTAGCCAGAAATCTGCATTAATTGCTTTTAGTGGCAAAGAGAAGCTTCTTGATGAAGGCCGAGACCCGCACTGGTCTATGGATATAAACATAGATGTTTAGAAGGCAGTTTGACAACATGTCTGTTTAGCAAAAAAGTAGTAAGCTCACCCTTAGTGCCTGTGACCTTCCCCAGTCATGGACCTTTGACCAGGACCACAGTATGTAGGGTAAACTCCCTCTATGGAGCGGGCTTCAGATCCATTCAGAAATCAGTTGGTTACCCTGGTTCGAATTCTTTCATGAATTGGCAACAAATGGTTTTAAGCCTTTCTCTCTTGGTCTCTCTGTCTTTCTGTCTGTCTCTGTCTCTCTGTTTGCCCCCCCCCCCCAGTGCTGGGAATTGAGCTTAAGGCCTAAAACATACTAGGTAAACATTCTACTCCTGAGCTCTATTCCAGGTTTTTTTCTTTTTTAAACAAGATCTCATGTGGGCTCTTCTCTAACTTGCTATGTGGTTTCTTTAAGAAGAGGCTGCTGGCGTTGAACTCGTAATCCTACTGTCTCTACCTCCCAAGTACTATGATTATAGGTATGTACCACTACAGCTAGCTAATTTTTTTTTTGTATTGATCTATTGAACTGTTTAAGAGAATACTGATATTTAGGAAAATATCCTGATAAAACACTCATGGTGAAAAAAGTGACTTAAATATTTCAGGAACCAGTACAGTTTTTAAAAACTTTTTACAAGGTAGTTGGCTTGTTCTGCATAAGAAAGGCAAGAAATTTTAAAAACTATTTTATTTAAGGTGTATGAGTATATTGCCTGCATGTGTGTAAGTGCACCCATGTCTTGCAATGCCTGTGGTGGTCAGAAGATGGAGTTGGATCCACTGGAACTGGAGTGACAGATGGTTGTTAGCTGCCATGTGGGTGCTGGAAATTGAACCTGGGTCCTCTGCAAGAGCAGTCAGTGCTTTTAACCAGTGAGCCATTTGGTTTTGATCATAGGAAGAAACAGGAGACAGAAGACAAGAGAGGATATAAAACCAGAGAGTTACATGGAATGAAAATTCCTGGCGGCAGAAAGCTTACTAGGGTAAAGATACCTAACAGTTAGTTGAAACTTTTTGCTGTATTATCTAGGTTAATTAAATTTGAAAGTGACACAAATCCAGTTCAGAGATGCTTGATGCTTACATAAAAAAGAATCTTAAAGACTTACATAGTTTGGAAAGATTCCAAGAGCGTTTGCACCACCTAAGGGAAAAATGGAAGCTAGAGCTGCAAAGCTGGACCAGAAACTTGAATTAATATTGTCAAATATTTCTTTCTTCTCCTTCCCCTCCCCTGCCTCTCTCTAAACCTTTCCCATCTGTGGTTGGCTATTTCCCTTTGAATTAACCTTGTTCTTTCCTACCATACATAGGCCTTTTCATGGGTAGGAAACATGGTTATGGCCAGACTCAGCTCTGTAACTCCAGGATTCTGTTCTAACTGGCTCCACTTATGCTGCTTATCCATTCCTTGAACCAATCATTAATACTAGGGAAATAGTATAATTGACCTGAACAGGTCATATGCCTCTATTTCTGCTCAGTGGCAGAAGGGTCTATTACAAGAACAGGAATGGAAATGTTTGAAGAATAAACCATTTTGTGTTGTTTCAGGGTAAACCAACCTCTCTTCCAAAAACTTTTGGTATAATCATGATTCATCCAGTGACCTTGTGAAAATGGGGATTTTAGGTGAAAATTATGAAATGGATCCTGGGCTTTGCCTAGTTTAAGGTAGGTAGGAAGGAATAGAGAGAGAGGCAAACACAAGTGGGTGACCAAATGTTCTGTAAATGGAAATAATTAACCAGAAGTAGGAATTTGGAAACAGGGGTAACCATGAGAGCCTTGCCTTGAAAGAGAACATTGGAGGACCACAGGGACTAGAATGGAAATTGTGTAACAAGGACTTAAGGGATACTTTTGCAAAAAAGCACCATATTAGTCAGTTTTCCATCATTGTGACAAATGTTTCAGAAAAACAATCCAAAAGAGGAAAGAATTTTTTTCAGCTCATGATTTTGGAGGTGCCAGTAGTTCATGGTCAGTTGGCCCCCATCACTGTGGGCCAGAGACAGATAGAATATCATGTTGGGGAGGCTGTGTTGGAACAGAGCTGCTTACTTCCTGTTAGTAGGCAAGGGGAGAGAGAGAGAGAGAGAGAGAGAGAGACAGAGAGAGAGAGAGAGAGAGAGAGGGGTGTCTCACTTTGTGGGCTCACACCTTTG